CATCAATGCCCTCCCTTTGATGAGGCTGGAGGAAGAGAGAAAAGACCAATTTTCCAACACTGTGGCAAAGATACTCTGGGGCGGATTGCTCTCCTCCTTCCTTTTGAAAGGGAAGGAAGGCTCATGATTCAAAGTGTGTGGGTCAAAAGAGGCAGCTCCTATGGGAAGGGATGCAGGGAAGACAACCATCACGGTTACAACACAAGGCTCCAACGTGCACACAGGGCACCACTTCTCTCCAGTGCTGAACTTTCCCCAAAGCCACAGACACTTCAAGGTCAGCCTGCTCGGCCTCCTTCAAGACCCACAGAGCTCCGACACCTTTTAAGAATACTAGGCCCCTCCCCGATGATGTATCTGTCTCTGTAACTATCCATAATTCCTCTGAAGATGCCAGACAGATGCAGGCAAAACCTCAGGAGAAAATGCTGATAGAACACTTTGGCCATACAGCTGGGATAACCACACAACACCCTATCCGTAATTCACATTGTTGTTGCTCTTTGTGTGAGCATGGTGCTGGCCTTTGTTTGTTATCTTTTGCTTCCTGTTGGCTTTGAAGGGTACTATTCTGCACACTTTGTCCCTGTCCCTTTTGTGTCATGGCCTGGGGCTTGCACAACAAACTATTTATGTCTTCTTTAAGAGCAGACAGCCTCCCTTTCCACCTGTTACATGGCCTCATTCCCACAGACCTCTGAACAAACCTTAAAGGATGCCTGCCATAGATGCAGGTGAAACATCAGGAGAGAATGCTACTGGAACATGGTCATACAACCCACAAAAGGCACAGCAACACATTCCTCTGCCTCATTTGGTCTCATTAAAAGTATTATTCACTATGGGGTTCAGACAAAGCAGAAGAGGAGGACTGGGTTGGTCCCCCCTTCCTTTTTTCTGGGGGAGTTGGTTGTTACCCCCCTTCTTTTCTGGGGGGAGTGAGTTGGTGGCCCTCTCTCTCCCTTTCTTCACTGGAGGAATAGATTGGTGTCTCCCCCTCTCTTCTCTGGGAAGTGGGTTGGTACCTCTCTCTCTCTTCTCAGGGAGACTAGGTTGGTGCCTCTCTCTTTCTTCACTGGGGAATGGGTTGGGGTCTCTCTATCTCTCTTCTCTGGGGAAGTAGGTTGGTGCCTCTCTCTTTCTTCTCTTGCAGAGTGGATTGGTGCCTCTCTCTCTCTTTCTTCTCTCCTGAATGAACTCCACCTCCAGTGGCTGCTAGGAGGGTTGCACCTCCATCATCACCAGGAGAGAGAGAAGGGGGGAAAGAGAGGGAAGGGAGAAACAGAAATGGGCAACAACCAGAGAACTTTGACCAAGTGGACAGGGTTGGGTAAAGTGGGGAGGTAAAGGGATCAGAAGAGTGGGTGGCTCTATGGCTGTGTGGTAATAAAAATAATAATAATAATAATAATAATAAGAAGAAGAAGAAGAAGAAGAAGAAGAAGAAGAAGAAGAAGAAGAAGAAGAAGGAAGTGTCCAATGTGTGATCAAATACAAAAGCCAGCATGGTGCTCTTCTTTGTTGTGTACTAATCTTGTTGGGTATCTAATAATAATAATAATAATAATAATAATAATAATAATTATTATTCAACAGCCAGCAGAGTGTCTGCTGTGGACTCATCTTGTTGTGTTTCAAAGATGAGTCAACAGCAGACACTCTACTGGCTGTTGTATTGGATCACATGTCGGACACTTCCCAAATGTCTAGGACTGTGTGATGTATTGTCGAATAATGTGTGCAGATCCCAGTAAGGTGGCCTTCTGCAGCTGGCAGTGCTGATTGTGTTTAAGTGCAGGCCAAGGTCTTTAGGCACTGCACCCAGTGTGCCGATCACCACTGGGACCACCTTTACTGGTTTGTGCCAGAGCCTTTGCAGTTCGATCTTTAAATCCTCATATCGTGTCATCTTTTCCAGTTGTTTCTCTTCAATCCTGCTGTGACCTAGGATTGCATCATTGACAATCCACAGATTGTGTTTAAGTGCAGGCCAAGGTCTTTAGTCACTGCACCCAGTGTGCCGATCACCACTGGGACCACCTTGACTGGTTTGTGCCAGAGCCTTTGCAGTTTGATCTTTAAATCCTCATATCATGTCATCTTTTCCAGTTGTTTCTCTTCAATCCTGCTGTCACCTGGGATTGCATCATTGACAACCACAGATTGTGTTTAAGTGCAGGCCAAGGTCTTTAGGCACTGCACCTAGTGTGCCGATCACTACTGTGACTTATTATATGTATAACTTAATACTTATTATAATACTTATTAATACTTATTATAAGTAATACTTATTATTATTATTATTATTATTATTATTATTATTATTATTACTTTATTATGGGACCCCTGGTGGCACAGTGGGTTAAACTGTTGAGCTGCTGAACTTGCTGACTGAAAGGTTGGAGGTTAGAATCCAAGGAGCTGGGTGAGCTCCCACAAACGTGAGTAGATCAATCGGTATTGCTTCTGTCAGGACTCATCCTTTATAAATAGACTTTTTCTGTTTCCTATCTCATCCAGGGTTTTAATGTTTTTATCATGTTATCTTGCACATCTGGCTGGCCCCGTGTGATTGATTTGATTGTGTTATTTTGCACTGTCTATTTTCTTTTGTTGCATTATGTATTTTGTTGTGTTTTAATTTTCTGTTGCTTTGCCTTTTATTTCATTGTATTGCTTCTGGGCTTGGCCTCATGTTAGCCGCCCTGAATCCCCATTGGGGAGAAGGCATGTCCCAAATGCATTTTATTAGAGATTTAAGACTGTCTGCACATCGCACCTACCTCTAAAAACCTATACATTTCACCTGTCATGTCCAGCACTTTTTAAATTTTATTCATTACATTTGGCCCGGCCTTTAGTTTTAAATGTGTCATGGTGTTACTGTTTTAATGTTTATTTTGCTTTATTAGTTTTATTGTTGTATTTGTTATGCTGCTGTTTTATTGAGGGCCTTGGCCTTTGTAAGCCGCACCGAGTCCTGCGGGAGATGTTAGTGGGGTATTAAAAACTCTGTTATAGACACTGAGAACTGGGAAGCCCTGGCCCTTGAGTGCTCCAGCTGGAGGTCAGCTGTGACCAGCAGTGCTGCAGAATTTGAAGAGGCACGAATGGAGGGTGAAAGAGAGAAACGTACCAAGAGGAAGGCCTGGACCGCCAACCGGGACCGCCTTCCACCTCCAATGCCCTCACTGTGGAAGAAGATGCAGATCAAGAATAGGGCTCCGCAGTCACCTAGAATACTGACCCTGGAAGACTATCCTACTCGTCCAATGAAGGATCGCCTAAGAAGATGGTGGAGGGGTATAAATAAAGATTATTATGATTATGATTATGATTATGATTATTATTATTATTATTATTATGGCGCTTCATGCAGTTATGCTGGCCACATGACCTTGGAGGTGTCTATGGACAATGCCGGCTTAGAAATGGAGATGAACACAACTAGAGTTGGTCACAACAAGACTTAAGGTCTGGGGAAACCTTTACCTTTCAAATACTCTATTTATATTGTTGAAGGCTTTCATGGCTGGAATCACTGGGTTGTTGTAGGTTTTGCTGGGCTGTATGGCCATGTTCTAGAGGCATTTTTCTCCTGATGTTTCGCCTGCATGTATGGCAAGCATCCTCAGAGGTAGTGAGGTCTGTTGGAAGTAGGAAAATGGGTTTATATATCTGTGGAATGACCAGGGTGGGACAACGGACTCTTGTCTGCTGGAGCTAGGTGTGAATGTTTCAACTGACCACCTTGATTATTAGCATACAATGGCTTTATTTATATTCCACTTCATCTCCCTAAAGGGACACAGGGCGGATGACAACACACTAACAAACACATGGAGGCATACATCCAATGCCTCAGCCTGCAAAACTCACAGTGATGGGACAAAGGACTCTTGTCTGCTGGAGCTAGGTGTGAATCTTTCAGCTGACCACCTTGATTAGCATTTAATGGCTTTATTTATATTCCACTTCATCTCCCTAAAGGGACTCAGGGTGGATAACAACACACTAACAAACACATGGAGGCATACATCCAATGCCTCAGCCTGCAAAACTCACAGTGATGGGACAAAGGACTCTTGTCTGCTGGAGCTAGGTGTGAATGTTTCAGCTGACCACCTTGATTAGCATTTAATGGCTTTATTTATATTCCAACCCATCTCCCTAAAGGGACTCAGGGCGGATGACAACACACTAACAAACACATGGAGGCATACATCCAATGCCTCAGCCTGCAAAACTCACAGCGATGGGACAAAGGACTCTTATCTGCTGGAGCTAGGTGTGAATCTTTCAGCTGACCACCTTGATTAGTATTTAATGGCTTTATTTATATTCCAACCCATCTAACAAACACATGGAGGCAAACATCCAATGCCTCAGCCTGCAAAACTCACAGTGATGGGACAAAGGACTCTTGTCTGCTGGAACTAGGTGTGAATGTTTCAACTGACCACCTTGATTAGCATTTAATGGCTTTATTTATATTCCAACCCATCTCCCTAAAGGGACTCAGGGCGGATGACAACACACTAACAAACACATGGAGGCATACATCCAATGCCTCAGCCTGCAAAACTCACAGCGATGGGACAAAGGACTCTTATCTGCTGGAGCTAGGTGTGAATCTTTCAGCTGACCACCTTGATTAGTATTTAATGGCTTTATTTATATTCCAACCCATCTAACAAACACATGGAGGCAAACATCCAATGCCTCAGCCTGCAAAACTCACAGTGATGGGACAAAGGACTCTTGTCTGCTGGAGCTAGGTGTGAATGTTTCAACTGATCACCTTGATTAGCATTTCATGGCTTTATTTATATTCCAACCCAACTAACAAACACATGGGGGCAAGCATCCAATGCCTCAGCCTGCAAAACTCAAATGCCGTCCATGAAAGACTCCAAGACGATCAGAAATGGGAACCAACAAGCCAAAGAGGCGCAAATAACCCCCCCCCCCGTCCGAGCCCAAGTTTGGGGTGCACTCACGGTATTTGGGGCTGGTGTTGGCCTCGGGCGGGACGGTGGTGGTGGTAGTAGTGGTGCTGCCCTCTTGGAAGGGCGATAAGGTCCAGGAGGGCGCGGAGTCCTGGAGATAGGTCTTGTAGGAGGAGGTAGTGTATGCCGCAGTAGGCCAGAGGGGTGCGGGCGGAGGACTCGTGGGGAGAGAAGAAGAGGAGAAGAGAGTGGTGGCTGTGGTGGTGCTTGAGAAGAAAGGGGGCGCCACAGTGTGCCGCCTCGTTGTCGTTGTGGTGGAGCGCGGTGTGCCGGCCCGGATGGGTCCCCGCGTGCCAGGGAGCCGCGTGGGCAAGGTGGTAATGCGGGTTCCGATCCTGTTCGGCGTCCTCGACGTGGCGGACGGCTGGACGCTTTTAGGCGGCGTCGTGGGCTGTTTGGAGAGGAAGAACGGGTCCTGCTCGATGCCTTTGGAATCCATGAGCTCGGTGGGGACGTACTCCTTGACGGAGCCCACGACGATCCACTTGAGGAGCATGAGGCTCAACCCTAAGCCCACGAAGCCGATGAAGAGGGGCACCACGCAGAGCCAGGTCTGCTGCCGGTTCCAGACGATGCAGTCGCTGCAGCGCAGCTCCCGACCAGCCGGAGGAAGAGGAGGAGGAGGAGGATCGGGGCCGCCATCGCCGCCCTCGGCAGCAGAGGCTGCGGCACTTGGCGGCGAGGCGGCGGAGGCGACCCCTTCGCTCATCCTCCTAGGGGTGCCTCGCAGCCTCCCCCGGGGGGCAACACAGGCATTGGGGGGGTGGGGGTCCGAGGAAGAGGACGACCCACACCGAGGACGACCCACACCGAGGCGTCAGTTACCAAAAGGACATCTCCCCCCACCTCCCCGCGGCATCAGAGCCTCCCTTTTCCTGCCGCCGCTGCTGAATCAGCTCAAACAACCCAAAGAGACCCATTCCTCGTCAATTGAGGCAGAGACATCCAAAAAAGAGGCACAAAATACCATCCTCCTTGTGCAGCTCTTCCCAAAAAGCCCAAAAATAGATCTAGAAGCAGAGAAGAAGAAGAAGTAGAAGAGAATCCAACGAAGCCACCTCCTCGGACGACGAAGCCGCCTCCTCTCCTCTTCCCTTCAATCTCTCTCTTTTTCTCCCCCTCCTCTCCTCTTCCGCATTCGGAATGGGGAAAAATGGGAAAAAAGGGGGTGAAATCACATTGCAATCTCCTCCCGGGTCGGATTTGGGGTGGTGCACCCCTGTTGTCCCCCACAAACGGCGGCGGGAGGATGGAGCAACATTCCTCGGCTGCTGGGCTCTCCTCCTCCTCTCTCCCTCCCTCCTTCTCTCCCTCCTCCTCTTTCTTCTTCCCCTCCCTCCTGCTATATTTCTCTCTCTCTCTCTTTCTCTCTCTCTCTCTGCACCTGTTATTCAGCAGCCCTGCAGCCAACCCTTGGACAGCGCAGGGACCAATCCGGAGGCAGAAAGAGAGATATTGAGAGAGAAAGAGGAGAAGCGGAAAGGAAGACCTACTGCCGGCAAAGAAGAGGAAAGAAGGAGGAAAAGGGGGTGCTCAGTGTTGCCTTGAGAAGAGGGAGGGGTTGCCTTGAGAAGAAGAAGCGTCTATTGTCCGGGAAGAGGAGGAGAACACGATGGGGATGATGCTACCGGCAAAGCAAGGCGAGGCAAAGCGAGGGTATCAATCCTTCTCCCCTCCTTTAATGCCTTTTTGAGTGTTTTTCTCTTGCAAAGGATGAGGATGGCTCTGCAAGGAAGCCGCCTCCTTGTTCCCCACCCCGAAGGGTGGATGCTTTTTTTTTTCTTCTCCGATGGGAGGACTTCTTCCCGAAGCTTCCCCTGTTTCTCCTCCAGCTCCCGCGAGAAGGGGTCTTGGCGTGGAGTTCCTTCCTACCCGAGCGGCTTTCCAGAAGCTTCAGGATCACGAAAACGAAAAGGACCTATCACTAGGTTCTTGTGGTTTTTTTCGGGCTATATGGCCATGTTCCAGAGGCATTTTCTCCTGACGTTTCGCCTGCATCTATGGCAAGCATCCTCAGAGATAGTACCACCAGCCCTTCTCCCCTCCTTTAATGCCTTTTTGAGTGTTTTTCTCTTGCAGTGCATGGAAAGGGGATGAGGATGGCTCTGCAAGGAGGCGGCTTCCTTGCAGAGCCATTCTCATCCCCTTTCCATGTACTGCAAAAGAAAAACACTCAAAAAAGCATTAAAGGAGGGGAGAAGGACTGGTGGTACCCTCACAAGAATCTAGTGATTCCAGCCATGAAAGCCTTCGGCAGGACGTATAATCTTATAATTTTCCGGACTGTCTGAGCAACGTTCCAGAAGCATTCTCTCCTGACGTTTCACCCACATCTATGGCAACCATCCTCAGAGATTGTGAGGTCTGTTGGAAACTAGGCAAGTGAGGTTTATATATCCGTGGAATGTCCAGGGTGGAAGAAAGAACTCTTGTCTATTGGAAGGAAGCGTGAATGTTCCAATTTGCCACCTTGATTAGCTTAGGTAAAGGTAAAGGTAGTCTCCTGACATTAAGTCCAATCATGTCTGACTCTGGGGTGTGGTGCTCATCTCCATTTCTAAGCCGAAGAGCCAGCGTTGTCCGTAGACACCTCCAAACAAAGACATGTGGCCGGCATGACTGCATGGAGCGCCGTTACCTTCCCACCGGAGCGGTACCTATTGATCTACTCACATTTGCATGTTTTCAAACTGCTAGGTTGGCAGAAGCTAGGGCTGACAGCGGAAGCTCACGCCGCTCCCCAGAATCGAACCTGCGACCTTTCAATCAACAAGCTCAGCAGCTCAGTGCTTTAACCCACTGCGCCACTGGAGGCTCCCTTGATTAGCTTGCTTGCTATCAATATCATACGAAAGCTGACTGGCACAACCTGGGGATCACAACCAGATACAGTGAAGACATCTGCCCTTGCACTGTGCTACTCTGCTGCTGAGTATGCATGCCCAGTGTGGAACACATCTCACCGCTCTAAAACAGTAGATCTGGCTCTTAATGAGACATGCCGCATTATCACGGGGTGTCTGTGCCCTACACCACTGGAGAAATTACACTGCTTAGCCGGTATTGCACCACCTGACATCCGCCGGGAAGTAGCAGCCAATAGTGAAAGGACCAAGGCAGAGACATCTCCAGCTCATCCCCTGTTTGGGTATCAGCCAGCACGTCAATGACTTAAATCTAGACATAGTTTTCTAAGATCTACAGAGACACTCGCTGGAACACCTCAGCAAGCGAGAGTCCAAAAGTGGCAGGCTCAAACCCATCACCTCAACCAATGGCTGATACCAAATGAAAGACTCCCTCCTGGGCACACAGAAGACTGGGCGACTTGGAAGGCACTGAACAGACTGTGCTCTGGCACCACGAGATGCAGAGCCAACCTTCAGAAATGGGGCTACAAAGTGGAATCCACAACATGCGAGTGTGGAGAGGAGCAAACCACAAACCACCTATTACAATGCACCCTGAGCCCTGCCACATGCACAATGGAGGACCTTCTTGCAGCAACACCAGAGGCACTCCAAGTGGCCAGATGCTGGTCAAAGGACATTTAACCAAGTACCAAACTCACAAGTTTTGTATTTTTCTGTTTTGTTTGTTTTGTTCTGTTAGAAATGTAATATAATGGACTGGTTGCTCTGACACGACAAATAAAAAAATAACCTTGATTAGCATTGAATGGTCTGCAGTTTCAAGGCCTGGCTGGTTGCTGCCTGTGAGAATCATTTGTTTGGACCTGCACCAGGAATGTGGCGCAGCTGGCTGAGTGTCAGCTGCATTAAGATCACTCTGACCAAAAAGGTCATGAGTTCGAAAGCCAGCCCGGGTTGGAGTGGGTTTCCAACCAATTATGTGTAGCCTGTTGTCGACCTTTGCAACCTGAAAGACAGTTGCATCTGTCAAGTAGGAAAATTAGGTAACACCTTAAAAAGTGTGGGGAGCCCCCGGTGGCGCAGTGGGTTAAAGCCCTGTGCTGGCAGGACTGAAGACTGACAGGTCGCAGGTTCGAATCCGGGGAGAGGCGGATGAGCTCCCTCTATCAGCTCCAGCTCCTCATGCGGGACATGAGAGAAGCCTCCCACAAGGATGATAAAACATCAAATCATCCAGGACGTCCCCTGGGCAACGTCCTTGCAGACGGCCAATTCTCTCACAAACAGGACACTTTAATCAAAACAAAAAAATACAAAAAACAAACCGTATAACTAAACGTGTGGCGGCGGCTAAATTAACGATTGATGACGGCCCATTAAGAAGAATCCAGCATAAGCAGTCTCAGCGGGAAGCTATGTGGGGAATGCGGAGCCGACAGTGACATTCGCAGCACAGCGTCCGCAGACGCGACACATGAAATGCGACAGTCCCAGGCGACCAGAAAAAGTTATATAGACTCTGTGTAGGTATCTCTATCTGTTTGGTCAGTCGTCAAAAATTGGATGAATGTATTTGGCCATGAGAGGCTTGTCACATTGTAATCGCCCTGAGTCCCTGCGGGTGAGGAAGGGGCGAATATAGAGAACGAAAGGCTATAATTTAATAAATAAATTAAAGGTAAAGGTTTTCCCCTGACATTAAGTCCAGTCATGTCCGACTCTGGGGGTTGGTGCTTATCTCCATTTCTAAGCTGAAGAGCCGGCATTGTCCATAGACACCTCCAAGGTCATGTGGCCAGCATGACTGCATGGAGCACCTGTTACCTTCCCGCCAGAGTGGTACCTATTGATCTACTCACATTTGCATGTTTTCGAACTGCTAGGTTGGCAGAAGCTAGGGCTGACAGCAGCTCACGCCGCTCCCCGGAATCGAATCTGTGACCTTTCGGTCAACAAGCTCAGCAGCTCAGTGCTTTAACCCACTGTGCCACCGGGGGCTCCCAATACTAATAATACTATAATACTAATAATACTATAATACTACTAATAATTATATGATATTTTAATTATATATATATATAATATCATATAATAATATGATATTATAATTATTATATTATAATTATATATTTATATTACATGTAATATTACTAATATTATAATATAATGGTATACTACAATATAGTAATATTTAATACTGATATTGTACTATGCTAATAATATAATATATTGTGTATGTGTGTGTGTGTGTGTGTGTGTGTATATGTGTATATATATATATATATATATATATATATATATGATAATATGCTGTATTAAAATAATCTAGTTTATGATTTTGCAATGATATATGTGGTGAAACGGTAAGGAGAGATGATATTGGAATAGGCCATACAGCCCAAAGAATCACAGCATACCAACAACAAGCCTTATTGCAGAATATTTCCGTATCTCTCAAGACAATGTTGAGAGAGAGAGAGTATTCTCCACATAGAATCATAGAGTTGGAAGAGACCTCATGGGCCATCCAGTCCAACCCCAAAGAAGCAGGAAAATTGCATATTTAAAACCCCCGACAGATGGCCATGCCTCTGTTTAAAAGCTTCCAAAAAAGGAGCCTCTACCACACTCCGGGGCAGAGAGTTCCACTGCTGAACAGCTCTCACAGTCAGGAAGTCAGGAGATAATACTATTGGAATATGGTCATAAAGCCCAAAGAACTCACAGCAACCCATTATTCTGGCTATGGACATTAAAAGCCTTCCATAATAAATCTCACATTTGCAAAACATTTCCTCTGCAGTTTTACGGATTGACCAACCCCAATGAGGGTCCATTATCACAGTGGAATTAATACATGTGTTGTACTAACACTGGACCACTCTAACAACCACCATGCCAGACTACACAGGGAAGCCATTGAAACCCACAATCATGTGGACAATTTCCACTGAGGGTCCATCATCATAGTGGAATTAATACATGTGTTGTACTAATGCTGGACCACTCTAACAAACACCATGTCAGGCTACACAGGGAAGCCACAGAAATCCACAAGCATGTGGACAATTTGAAACAGAAATAAGGAACCATGAAAATGAAAAAAAAAATCTGCCTACCAATAATAAAAAAACCCTCTAAAATCAGGACAAATAATCAATAGGGGAATTACAGGCATGAAACAATCAGGGACAGCTAACACTTCCCAACAAAGGACCCCCCAGCAGGAAGCAGCCAGGCTTTGAAGCTGCAAGGCCATTCAATGCTAATCAAAGTGGCCAATTGCAACATTCATACTTGCCTCAAGCAGACAAGTGTTCTTTTTCCCACCCTAGGCATTCCACAGATATATAAACCTCACTTGCCTAGTCTCCAACAGACCTCACAACCTCTGAGAATAACTGCCATAGATGTGGGTGAAACCTCAGGAGAGAATGCTTCTGGAACATGGCCAAACAGCCCAGAAAACTCACAGCAACCCAGGAATTAATGCAGTTTGTCACTCACTTTAATTGCCACAAAATCTTGGAAACTGTAAACCAGTGAGGCACCAACACTCTTTTTCAGAGAAAATGAAAGATTTGGGAAAGCTACTCCATCCAGAATTCCATAGTGTATGGAAACATAATATGGGTTCAAACTTCATTAATCCTACAATATAGATGCAGGGATGTCATGTGTTTTCTGGGTTGTATGGCCATGTTCTAGCAGAATTTTCTCCCAATGTTTCTCCTGCACCTGTGGT